CCAGAACTCTTTGGAGTCATTAAGATGCCTTCAACATTTAGCCGCAGCCGTCCAACTGAAAACAACAAATATTTGTTTTTTTCTTTTCTTGACAAAAATAAGATGAAAACTGAACAATAATTTGAAAGAAGTAGGAATATGTACTTAGACGGGCTCATTCATCAGTAGATCACTTACTGTAGCTCATCAGTAGTGGAACACTATCCTGGTGCAGAGGTGATTTAGTACATTCACCTGTTGGGTTTCAGTAATATCCTGTACTGGTTGTTGTTGCAGACTAAATTCCCTATAATCCGCCGAGAATATATATATAACTATATAACCCTAACCCTATATATATATATATATATATATGTAGTTGTACAGCCACATATAGACACACAGATTTTCTTTATTCCATTGCTAAAACACTAAGCCTACATGTGAAACAAATGTTCCCTAGATCCATTTATCTATTTCTTTTTTTGAAGACTCTAAACACATTCAAAACACATGTAAGGGGGGTGGAGGAGGAAAAGGTGGAGGAGGAGGAAGCGTAACCACCATCATTTCAGATGGAATTGGAGCGACTGTCCTTGTTCACAGGTTCCCTGTGGCCTCTACAATCAGGACATCGTGAGGAGAGGAAAAGGTTTATTCTGGTTATCCTCAGTATACATTCACATTTAGTTTATTGTTTACAGATGTTTCATACTCGAGGATAGAAAGAATAAAACATTTCTTACCATACAATATTCTGTTATCCTGTTTTTGTTTAATGTTTTCCTTTGTTAAATTAATATAAGTCACTCAGCACCCATCGGGCAAGAGACGGGGAACACCCGGACGGGTCGGCAGTCAATCAGGTGGCTGACGCAGAGATCGACCGACACTCTCACATACACAGACCTGCAGGCTGTGTGGTCCCTTGGGGGTCGGGGGTATGATGGGGGGTTTTGGAGCCGTTATCAATATTACTTCTGGCATAAATTATTGTGATTAGTAGGAGCTTTCTCATCATAATTCTGCTTACTGCTGTCGTTTTATGAATTATTGATATCAAATGCATTGGATGTATTATAACTAGTTGTTGCAAGAAGAAGACTGACTTTAGTGCATGCAGATTCTACTTCTTTCTTGATTTTAAACATTGTAAACATGACTTTATGGTCTCAATCTCTAGTTCAAGTCTTCTTGAACACAGCATGTTCATTTAGTAAACGAGGGTCCATTTAGAGAGAATGAGCCGTAAAGCAGGGCGGAGCTGCTGTGATTGACAGGACGCTACAGCTGATCTTCCACCGTCATTTCTATGCATCTGTTGCAAAATGACAACACCACGGCAATGCTTGTATTCCAAGATGTGAGCGGTGATGCAGTGAACACGTCCACTTCTTATATTCATTCTACTGAGCTGCTGTATTGACCCAGAAAAATGAATTATTTGACCCAACCCCAATGTTCTTGTTTGTGGAGTTTGAGCTCTCGTAACGTCTGTGACAGTTTATAGCTGTTACACATGAAATCAAAGGAATGGAAGCAAAGCTTATACAACACACAAACATTTCAATTCGCCATTGAAGCTGTTTTGACAAAATTGAGTTTTGGGTCGGACAGTGCTCAGGTTTATACTTTGTATAATCACGTGAGACGTTACCCCACAAGCTGTGCTTGGATGGGTGATGATGTCACTGACATAAAAGATGTCACTCATTATTTATCATGAAGCATGAAGTAAGTGTGTCATCGGACAGATGGAGGGAGATGTGCACACAACTATTATTTGATCAAATGAATATCAAGTGAGGGATTCAGGTAGTCTTATAACAGGGGATTGTGGCTGTGAAGGATGATGTGCAAAGGGACATTTAGTTGTAAAAGAATTTTTCACTTGATTAAAAATGAAATGACTTATTCATATTTCTAATTTGGTATGATAATAGTTATGGATATGATGTAACTGGTAGTAAGGAAATCAAAATGAGCTGTTTATCTCCAAGTATGCAGGGAGTTCTCGTCACGGAGTCCTACATGTGGCAGCACTTTGTTTCTAGTGTAGAAATGAAACTCCCTGTTTTTTGCGTTTTTGCGCAATGTGGTGTGCGCTCATCATTACGTCCCATCAAATTCTACACACTTGGCCTTTGAAGGCAGTCTCTGTCTACAAGTATGTGCGTGCAGCCGGATGCAGCAAACATAACTGCCCAGAGTGGGATCCTCACTCATCTGGCCTGCAAACATCACAGTCCCAAGAGGCCTAATGTGGAGTACGGGGTACTAAGAGGGTTTCACATTTCTGAAGAGCTTTGTGCATGACATTATGTCTTGAGCTTGGCAAGTATGCTGACCGCTTCTACTCATACATCGTTGACTATGATTATTGAATTGGCATTTCAGCTATAAAACTTTTTAAATTGTCAAAATGGTATATTGATTTGCCCGGCACCCTCTTGAACTCGCCTCACATTTTCACATGAATAGACATCGTTATTGCTCACCATATGGATTTTATGCATCCAATTATTTCCAAGATACATAAGTGTTTCCTCTAGCCCAAAATATGAAGAGATGATTGAGCACTCAATAGAAGCTGTCATAGATTACTGCAATCGCTGAGTACTGAACTGAATAGTCACGGGCGCCGATCAATACACAACAAATCAACAATATCTGCAAGTCAACAAATTCAAGGCAAAATGCTGCAGAACATTCCTGGTGTGCTATGAAGGAGGAGGACGGAACACAGCAGGGATCGCTTTTGTGCATTTGTAAATTTTACTTTTTGTCGGGCATTAAAGAAAAACACTCACCAAAAAATGTCCATTCTTTTCTCTCTCAGACTCGATATCATTTTGGTTTGGGTCATTGACTCAATTGAAGCACCATTCTCAAAGCACACTTTTCTCCACAGGATTAATATATCCACTGAGAAATGAAGAGGTGCAACACATTGGACTGGAGACTAGTGCTGTGGCAAGGTAGAAACATGTACTTGATTAATTGAGTTTTCTGTGATAGACAGCAATTAATCACATTATGAGCCAAAAAAATAAATATAACAAGCACTCTTGGAGCAACAATATTGTGACATACAGTAAATAAATCTTTTTTTTCTGAAACATTTGTCTTTAATCAGGGAATAGCATAAACCGTCTACGTTCAGTAGTAAGGGTCCCTGTCAGCGGACTGCAGGGGACGTCTTAGTCTGTAAAGCCTGTGGATTTCCTTTGGACACTTCTGAAAGTGTTTTTTCAAGAGAAATTGTCGGGATCCCTGATCCTTCGAGTTCGTTGATGAGAAGAATCACGACACGTTAATCAATTAAAGTTAAAAAGATTAACATTTACTTAGAAGAGAAAAAGATTACATGAGCGATTCTCTGCACATATATGTGGAGACTCGCTACGCGCCCCAAGCTGTACCAAAAGAGTCCGACTCGAGTCCGTTCTAATAAGGCTGAGCTACTTCCCCCTAAGACCTGAGCTACTTCCCCTAAAGCCGGGGTCACACTGGTTCCAAATCGCCAATGTCGTCAGGCTGCCGGGGGTCAATCAAGGGGTGAAGTCTGGTTTGGCTTATTGACTTCTCCTACTCCGTCGGTCAAGCACAGGTCAACACATCCTGTTTGACACTTCTGTCTCCTATTATTGAGCGCCTGTACTTGTCATCTAATTTAAGCGTATAAGCTTTAGCTAAAGTAAATACATAGTACATCCCACAAAAAAAAAAACACTTTGTGTTTCAATTTGAGCAGTTTCACAATTAACCTTTAACATCCACTTTTTTATCCATTCCTCCACATTTTGTTTTCCTGCACGCCGCATCCAAAGTAGTCTGCCGAAGTTTCACCCCACTGGTGGTTTGGGTAGCTGGTCGGATGGCATCAATGCTTTAAACTTGTGGTACTTCAGGCTTGTAGTACTGCAGTGATAAGACAATTCCAGTTTATAGTGGTTACCAATAGCGTTGCTATTATCAACGACGCCGTCTGGTAGAGAGTTAAAATAAAAATGTCCACTAAAAAGTGCAGTACCTTTCTCGATTTTCTCGGTTTATGTGTTCAGCAGTGTTAAGCCCCATGACAAGAGGCTGACGTCTATCCATCCATCCATCCATACTCCTCATCTATTTATGCTGTGTAACCTCTAACCATGAATACATTAAAAAAAACTCACCCTAATCACCAACCTTAAACCATGTTAAACGGAAATCTACTCTAAAATACTTTGTCACATTGTCGGTTACAGTATCTGCCACAGGTCACTCTGAGCGTTCATTCAGCACGACACTCACAAGCATCCTTCTCCACGGTCTCTCACTCTTCTGTTAGGTCATGCCTAGGGTCCAGTACATGGGTAGTAGTAGTAGTACCGGTCCAGCTCCCGAAGAATATCTCTAGTTCAAAGGCCACTCTGTGAAGACGGCAGCCGAGAGGTTAGCTGGTGATTCTGGACTTCTAGTATGCTAATTATTTGGAAAGTATGTACAAACAGTAGAAGCATTCTCTGTGTAGGTATGAAGGCTCAGTTTAAGCTAAATTCCAGGTGATTATAGACAAATGAACTTTATGAATATAATATTCTGTTTCTGCTTGTAGGCCCTGTAGAATGCTAAACAGTGCTCCTATTAGCTTGTGAACATAGTGGACGTTTAAGTTAATGGTTGAGCTCGGGTAGGTTGGGGTAATGTTCTATCACTTTAAGCCCTTTCCCATTTTGATTACTGTTTTTATATTTGACACATTGTTAATATAAAAACATGTTGATGAAAGTAGCATCTTTAATTAAGAGTCAGTTATAATATCGGTTCAGGTGTCATGTCCAACTAATTATAAAACCTGCAAAACAAGGCTTATCGTCTCTTACTTACTTACCCTCTTGCTTTTGATAAAGTGGCCGTTTTATGGAGAAGACAGAAGCAATGTTGATACACTCAGATATTCTAAAAGAGCCTTTCATGGAGACTTCCCCGCTTCTAAAATATAGAGTTACGTTATTTTAAATCATACCCGGACCAACACACCTTGATCAACAAATCAGTTTAATAAATAATACATCAGGAAAAAGAAACAGACCAAAAAAAGTTCACATCTGAACAACGCGTGTTTATCTTTTTTTGTCATTACAGGAACAATTAAACCAACGAAGTAAGCAGTAGCACGTCATACAAAGCAGAGTGAGCAAGTCCAGATTACGAAGTGGTGGTAAGAGGGATGGGTAGGGATGAAGGGTTCTAACTGTGGCGGTCTAGTCCATGAAACCCCCGTACCTCTTCTGCAACTCGCTGCCGCTCTCCCAGGCTCGTTTCAACATCCCCCCGCTCTTGCTGCTGTCCACCAGCCACTCGGGCCTGCCCACGCGTCTCATGAACCCTCCGTAGCGCTTCTTGAGGCCGCGGCCCAACACCGCCTCCAACAGGTCGCCCTGGGCCACCCCTCCCCCGGCCCGGCGCATGAAGCCCCCGTACCTCTTCACCGCATCCCCTCCCGGACCTTCGCCGCCCTGCTCCGGCGCGGCGTTGAGAATCTTTAAGATCTCCAGGCGAACGCTCTCTTCTTCGTCTTGGTTCCCGGGATCCTCCAGTAGCCCCTCCTGAGAGGGGGAGCGGCGAGACATGAAGCCGCCGTAGCGCTTCATGAAGCCGCCGTACTTCTTGGCCAGCAGGTGCTGTGGTGATGGGGAGTCGTCCTCGTCGGCCGTCGCTTCGTCCGAGGCCTCCTGGTCCTGTGGCTGAAGGGGGTCGGCATTCAAAGGAATGTTGTGTTCTTCCTCTATAAGGAAGTCCCGGCACAGGCGGAGCTTCTGGGTGTCCAACCCACCCTTGCACTCTAGTGAGCAGGTCTGGAAAAAAAAAGTGATCTTTGTGACTCTTCACAATCTTTTCAATACAGTGTTTGAAATATCAATAATTCAGTCAATACGGTTTCATCACTTTTTTGATTTGATTTGTTTTGAAGCGGGGTTACATGGCACTCATTCATTTTGAGTGGTTGGAGTCCATTTAACCGATCTACCAATGCATTCTCCGGTTTACCTTAATGCGAGACGGACATTCTAACCAGACCCGATTGAGGAAGCCACAGTAATTTAACCTCACCGAATACGGGAATAATACAGGTCACCAGTTTTGCAACTTCTGTTTGTACAAACTTCTCCTTTGCTCAGTGACTTCCCAGATTCAGTATATTCAGTTGATATTAAATATGAATTTGTCTTGCTTTTTTGTTTTTTTCCCATTATCTCCATTATATCTATTATCTAGTGAATATTACAGAAAGCTGCATTTACGTAGCTGCCTATGATCCTGTGTGCAGGACAAGAGCTTTGAAGATGGATGGATGGGTAATCCATCTTCATTAGGGGACATTACACTGCTTTTGTGTTTTCTAACAAAACATGTCTACACTTTTTAAAAATTCATTTTTCTCATAGTGTTGGTTTTAAAATGCAACAGGTCACTGGTCAGGTAACAGGTTCTGCCCAACTACAATATGGGAATGAGTGCGTATTGTGAAGTCATGCTGATCGCGATGCAGAGCTCCACACCAGCATTGGTCACGTCCATTGGTGCCGACTGGCCGGTTCCTTTTAAATCGAGATAAATCAGTCAACTTGAGCTCTCTTTCTCCAAAACACATGCAGCAGTCTGCAGCTCACATATCGATACAGTATCCTATTATCCTATTTATTTAGTCGAAGCCCGCCCTCCCATTAAAGCTGTGGGCCCCCCCAGTCATCCAACAGGGACCTGGGGGCTGCATACTGGCCGCATACTGGTCCCCGCCTCATATGCGTCATTGGGTTTCACTCGTTTGATGGAGGAGGGATTCTCGCTGAGCTTTCAGCGCTGCTGGCTTGTGAAGACAGAATTAATGAACGGGAAAATTGAATTGAGGACATATTGGCACCCGGGGGCTTGGGGGGTGGTGGATTAGCAGCCTCTGGTGGTCATGGTGGGAAGTTTACAACAACTAATGTTTGTATCAATCGGGAAAAAGGGAGAGCAACAACCAAACGTGGACACATTACTGGGCTTAAGATCAAGTTTTCCTCTTCCCCTCCTAACAATCACAGCTTTCTGAGTAGTGTTGTAGCATTTAGGGAAAAAATTCATTGAACTAAATCCACATGTCAGTGAATTTCAAGGCATTTCCAAATAATTTAGTGTATGTTGTATGGATGAAAACGCTCTTAGTTGTTGAAAATTAAGGAATTATAAATTTGTACACTTTGATCCTTCAACACACAATTGCTCTTGTTTTAGAGAATGAAAAATTGTAGTTAATATTTTTAAGCAAGACTTTTTAAATCTTCCCATTAAATGAATTTACATCGATTAAATAAAGATGTTGATATCGCTTTTTCAGAAAATCCACTGAAATATAAAGTAGGAGAAGATAGAATAGAGAGCAAAGGTTTTGTGAAGTAAGAGACGGAGGAAGGAAGAATGGATGGACACCCGACCAGTTTCTATAGTATTATCTTGAAACCTGCAGAACCATATCACCATGATTACAGCCACGGGTAGCATGACCAGAGGGGGGGGGTCAAATAGGAAAAGATGATGGTGAAGAAAGGGAGAGGAGGGATGGAAATCAGGGGGCGAGAGAAAAGTAGAAAGTAATAAAATAGGGGGCTAAGCCCTTCAATGAAATGACAGCAGTAACAAAGTATTTTTGTAAAGGCGTATGCGACAGTATCGTCATCATTAAACGCATCTAATAACTGAGGACACGACAATGAAGATATCAAGAGGGGAGGAGGGGAGACATGAAAGAGGAGCGGAGGAACGACGAAACGGAATGGATCAAAGGGAGAAAGTGTCGGGAAAATATCCAAATATAGTGATAAATATTCCATCCATCCATCTTTAACCGCTTATCTGGGGTCGTGTGCGGGGGCAACAGCTCCAGCAGGGGACCCCAAACTTCCCTTTCTAAATATTTGGCTTCATATATAACAGGAGCAGCCCTGGGCTAATATTAGTTATCCACTGGACTTATTATAACTTATGAATAATTCTAATATGACTTCAAAAGGAGGAGAAACCAAACTACTGGGCTTTTCAACCACACCCCCTTAGTTTATTTGTTTTCATGTATTTATTCATGATCGCATGTACTATATGCGGGACACCAGACTGGCCCCACTGACATGATCATGTTTGGTCTAAAGGTTTATTAGAAATAAACCCACTTCATGGGAATGAAGTAGTGACATTACCGGGGAGGAGAAACCAGACTGCTGTGCCAGCAGACGGTAAACGCACAGAGCGCACTCCTTCCCGCACTCCGTTCCCACCACCTGAGACACGCACGCGCCCAGAACCAGAACCAGAATCCACACGCAGCTGCTGTGTGCGGGGGCGGCCATCGACTACAGAGAAATGATACAAAGCAGAAACTTCATCAGATTAGTAACATTATTCTCTTTTGTTGCTTCAATAAATAAAATGTTTTACATTTGAATTGTTATTTAAACTTATTTTTGTTTCTGTCCCAACTGCTACTGTGTAAAATCCATCATTTGAATACGTGTTCCACATGCTGTGATCGTAACCCGGCAGCAGTAAAAGTCCCCGCGGTAGAAAGTTGCGCGAGTCGCTCGCCTCTCACCTCGGTGTTGTTTCACGCGCTACAGGAGCTGTTGCGCGCGGTCCTCTTCAGCGCGTGGCGGCAAAGCTGGAAGCTGACGGGTGGCGCGGAGCTCCCCGCTGTGAAAAGGGTCACAGCTCAGTCAGTTGGAGCAACTAGGAAGGCGTCTCTTTCTGGGTAAACGTTACCGGACCGCGGCGCTCAGGCGGGAAAAAAAAGCAGTCGTTACCCCGTTAAACTCGCGTGCGCAGTCCGCTCAGAGTGCTCGGTGAAGCGCTCCGGCACCGCGGCTTGTTAAAGTAGTTTGTGCGCATACGTCACCCGGGATAATGGGGAGGGGGTGGAGGGGTTAATAAGCGTGACGATGTGACGTGACAGCACCCCCCCCCCCCCCCCCACACACACACACACACACACACGCCCACACACCTGTTTCTAATGTCATGCAATGTGTAGGAATACAATTTAATTTCAGCATATGTGTTTGTTTTTGTGTCATTGTGTGCTTTGCATGTGTGTGTGTGTGTGTGTGTGTGTGTGAGAGAGAGAGAAAGTAGATGGATCAACACACACACACAAGCCTCGCTGTTGTTGTCGAGTCAGTACAAGCAGGGTTCATGGATTATTATTTCATATTAAATCCAATATTCTCTCCTGACCAAAGCGACTCGTTCATTTTTTTGTGGGGGGCGTTGGGGGTTGATATCTGATCTGAAATTGGGAAATCCTTCATGTGCTACATGAGCTCAGTGCGTCTGTAAAGCTTGCGGTGAAACCAAGCGACTGTCTATAAACCTGCAGTGGGAGTTCTTAGTGGCTGCAGCAGGATTGGAATGGGAGGAAGTGTGCCCAAGACGGTCAACAATTTAAGACATTTTCAAACCTCACACGGTCTGCCCATTTCGTATCAGGTGAAGTCATTATATGGGGGCAATTTTTCCCATAACTAGAAAGACACAATTACAACCCAGCCAACAAAAACCGTGATCCATTGTTGTTTGCGACGCATATCGTTTGTGCTGCTCAGCTGTCCAGAGATGTTTACGGTAAAAATGTTGTATGGGTGGAGGTTCTGTGTGGAGCAGCTCTGCTTCTGCTATTATTGGTTTTGATGAACTGTCACGAACTGGAGGAAACCGCCACTACAGCATTTGAACAGTACTCCCGACACATGGTCTAAACCACTTATCAATAAAACCTCATCGATGACGATGGATATCGCCGTGGAAAGTAAGTTGTCAGTAGTACATTAAGTTATGCATTGTGTTCACATGCAATGTGAGCAAATACTTGTTTGTTTGTGTGGTAATGTTGCAGCTCAAAACACACGTGGCTGCGTCACCTGTTATTGCCAACGTTATTCTCCTCGTGGTCTTCATATATGACTTGAATCCATTGGGTTCTTGAGCCTTCCAAGGCTGGGACGCCATGTGAATTGTGTGGAACTGTGCAGCTGACTACAGCACATTCTGAGGATTGAGTCTGCTTCATGGTGTTAGCTAGAGGTTTGCAAGAAGAAAGTTGAGTGCTTGGGGGGCGTGTTGGGGGGGATGTGGTGAAGGGAGGCCAAGGCGCGTAAGGGCCTTCTGCTTGGTTCTACATTAGACCAAACAACTTGTATTAAATAATATTGTTTCATTACAGATCATAAGGAAGTTTTCAGCGTTGCTAAACATGCCAGACAGCCACATTAATGTGTAGAATATACATGTAGAAAAAGTGGGATTTTCATAATATGACCCCTTTAAGATAAGAGAGCTTTATTGATCCTGTGGGAATTTGCCAAACAAAAAAGTAGGAAAGATTTACAATTTTCCTGCCTGATGAAAATACATTGAGTGTTAATTAGCCAAATAAAAACAAAGATGTTCCATAAGGAGTAAAAACTAAATGAGGAAAAACTGAATGTTGAAGATAATAAATAGTAAGTCAACACTAGGTTCCTCCTGATCCGCCTCCATCTAATATACATGACTGGTTGTACAAAGAGGATAGGCCGAATGACGGGACAAGGGGAAGTATCACAGGAAATTTAATATTTAATTAACACCTGAAAGCGTAATTTCCTGGAATGCAGAGCCTTCAAACACAACCTGCTTTTTCACATTATAGTATAGTTTATATTGCACTATTATATGACAGTGTTTCCAACAGGATTTTATAAAACTGTTGTGGGTGGATCACCGGAGAGGGCCTAGGGCACGGTCCCATGGCCGCAAAGGTTGAAGACTGTAAAGTTAACTGCATCAATCAGGGGCACTTTGCGAGCGAAAAGAAGACGGTAGATCGTTCCAAGACAAGTTGCTGTTATCACTGCTTATCACCAACAAGGACAGTGGCGTCGGGAGCCCGGTCCCCACAAGTATAAAAGTAGGGCTGCAGCTGCTCCCCCTGTACCGTCACCCCGACGCCTATGGACACGGCCCAAAACCAATACAACACTGGGATTCATGAGTGACTGGGTGAGTTCACAATCAGGATCTCACACAGGGGAAGCTGATCGTGTCTATTTCTTTCAGGTGCAGAGACGGTGCCCATCACAGATCAAATATATTGAGAGGGAAGAAAGTGGCCCCAGCTGACATGAGATATGGGAGCCCAGCATGATGGTGCCAGTGGTAGGGAAGCCGGCTGTGGTTGCTGAAAGAAGGCGGCAGCAGGCGCTGGCCCCAGTGTACGAGAATGAACTGGGTTTCACTGCTCAGAGCATTTAAACGTCAAGCTGATAGTGTAAAGTAGTGCAGTGTAAAGTAGGCAGTTGCACTCACTGGATGAGCCAGGATGGAACGAAGTGGCCTCGAGTCAAGACAGAAATCATCGTAGGTAGATGGCGCATTCAAGTGCTCACATGTTGGTCCCACTTGAGGAGCGGGGAAGTTATTGTTACGACTTTTTTGTTGTTATGAGCTTTAAGTTGTGATGTGGAAATAACATGTACGCTAGAAAAATATCGCTTTCTAGGCTCTTTCCTGTTTTTTGTGAAGACTGAAGAAAAGGGTAGAAAACCGAGGCGAGACATTTGTACAATTACACCAACACTACATAAATGCCCTATAGATCATTCTGTATGATCATATGGAGTTTACATGTAGTGGGGTGCTAAATTGTTGAATTTGATTTGTTTTATCTTTTAGTGGGGCCGGTAATGATAGCTGTCTCACATTCATGTAGAATGCTGTAGAAGGGGACGCTTATTTGCAAAGAGTATCGGTAGTTGGAAGGGAGTAGGAGAATTGTTGTAACAGGCTTTCTGTAAATTGTCTTATCCTATTTCCTTTGGTGACAAACTCGGTGGGGATGGACGGCATTGTTTTGACTTGCCCGTTTCACTCTTCTGAACTTCTTTTTAAATTACTGTTGGACACAATAACAGGAAGGCCATAGTCAAAAGATGACAATACTGAGCTATTAAGCATGCAAGTCTTGACCGTATCCACTGGAATGGGTCTTCATGCAGGCATTATCACATGGGCAGAGACCACACACAACACACACACACACAGCCTTGTTTTCCTCTTATAGAAGCCCCACCTTACAGCTTATCTCCCTGACTCAGAAAGCTGTTATTATTGGTGAAGGTATAACAAAGACCAGCTTTTTAATTAACAAAGGTGTTCTGCTAACATCGCCACGTACGGTGACTGTTTGTCACCATAACTGTTTGTAGCCTCAATAAAGATTAACCTGCCTCCCCAGTCATGAGCTGTGTGTGTCTGTGGGTGGGTGTATTCATGTGAGCATCTCCTTGCGTGTGAGAAATTTGAAAAAGAAAAACAAAGACCAGAGTAAATTTCTAATTTTATTGAGGCTGCTGGAACTGGCAGGAGATAATAAGACCTTTTTTTTCTTCCTTCAACTTTTTCCTTTAGGGGAAAACACATGTATCTAAACTTTTTATATCTTTGTAATCATATGGAAGAGATTCAGTTATTGTTAAGTGTTATACAATGTATACAGTTTCAATCAAAATTATTCAACCCCCCATTGCACAATAGGTTTATTGGCAAAATATACAATTTCTCAGCTGTTTGCAATAAACAAATTACACAAGAATTGTTTAAGTAGTTTAATCAAAACTAATAGTACGAAGGTTTTGTCCAAATTCAATACAAAATGCTACTTTTAATGACTTTAATGAATTTACTGCAGTCTCAAAATGATTCAACCCCTTCATGACAAGCATCTTCAGTACTTTGTAGAGCACCCTTTTGCTGTTATGACCTGCTGCAAACGTGATGCATAGCTAGACACCAGCTTCTGAGAGCGTTCCTGAGGAATCGTAGCCCATTCCTCATGGGCAATGGCCTCCAGTTCAGTAATATTCTTTGGTGTGCGTTTTGCAACCGCCTTCTTCAAATCCCACCAGAGATTTTCGATGGGGTTCAAGTCAGGCGACTGTGACGGCCACTCTAGAATCTTCCATTTCTTCTTCTGAAACCAAGCCTTGGTGGACTTTGAGTTATGCTTGGGGTCATTGTCCTGTTGGAAGGTCCAATGACGCCCAAGTTTCAGCTTCATCACAGACGGCATGCCGTTTTTTTCCGAAGATTTCCTGATATTTGACTGAATCCATCGTGCCCTCCACACGCTGCAGGTTTCCAGTGCCAGAGGCAGCAAAGCAGCCCCAGAGCATCACTGAGCCACCGCCATGCTTCACTGTAGGCAGGGTGTTCTTTTCAGCATATGCTTCATTCTTCTTCCTCCAGACATAGCGCTGATCCATAGGCCCGAATAGTTCCAGTTTTGTCCGGTGGCTTATTTATGTGGTTTTCAGCATATTGGAGCCGACTTTTCTTGCGCTTTTGGGTCAGTAGTGGTGTGCGTCTTGGAGTCCGGGCATGGAACCCTTCAGTGTTTAGTATGCGCCTTACTGTGCAAACTGAAACCTCAGTGCCTGCTGCCACCAAGTCTTGCTGCAGGTTTTTTTAGTCACTCGAGGGTTTTTTGACCACTTGCCTCCTCAGGAATCTGGGGGGAGCCGCTGATAGCTTCCTCTTTCTGCCACGTCCTGGTAGTGTAGCCACTGTTCCTTCAACTTTGAACTTGCGAACTATGCTTCCAACTGTATTTCTAGGGACATTCAGTGCTTTTGCTATCTTTTTGTATCCCTTTCCTTGTTTGTGCAAGGCAATGATCCGCTTCTCTTATTGGACAATTCTTTTGACTTCTTTTGACATATTTCTAACATGCAATCAAAGGTCACTCTCAACAAACCTTAAGCCAGACCAGGTATTTATGTGTTCTATCTCAAGCACACCTGAAGTAATGAATTAGTTGCACCAGGTGTGCTTGATACAGGGA